AGTTTGGCAATGTTCAGACGAGACGTCGCGTCGGACTGGTTATTTTGCTTGTTTTTTCACCATTCTGTATTAATTTTTTATAGCCAAATTTAGCCTTTAAATGTAACATTATTTTAAGTCAATGCTGTTGTGGAAAAGTTTTGTTTATTTGCAAATACATTTCATTTTATTTCTCTAATTAATACTATTTGAAGAAAACAAACCTATGAATATTTGACAACCTTTATTATGTTTTTCGATAGAATAAAAGATAGGAATATTTGAAGTAACAAAAATTACCAATGTAAACTTTTACTGGATTTTAGCTATACTTATCCAAAAAGAAACAGAACAAATGTTTGAGTAATGTGACAGTTTAACTAACTTACACGTAACGCAAGATAAACATCACTTAAGTTTAGGTGGGATCGTGGTCAAGTGCTGGTTTATCTATACTATTACAATGAGGAAAGATTTTTATTTTCGTATGTATTGAAATAAATCAAAAACTACTGGGCCGACTTCAAAAATTCTTTTACCAATAAATAGCAACCTTATCACTAAGTAAGCCATAAATACTATGGCTATATTTCCGGATGGACGAATTTATAATTTAAAAACATCATATTGGTTATAATTAGCTAAAGTTAACCTTGACTTCATTACCCATCTTTTTACCATATTTTTAAGTGACAACCCATATAATGTACATAATTACACCAAGTCGAAAATTTTACACCAAAACTCGATAATGTGCTACCTTAATAGGTAAATACAATCATTATTGATTTCAATCCATATAGGGTTTCTTATAAGTCGCTTTTTTAAGATATTTATTAATTATGTACCAAATAATCATGATTCACGATTCACTTACACGATCCGTTCTTTAAGAAAACATAAAAAAATCCTTACAAAAATATTTAAGAACTTTTTAAGACAAGAATTGTTTTCTCGATTATTCGACATATATCAAACCTAAATTCTTATTTTTCTTGGACTATTGGAAAATTTAATGGCAGATGGAGATAGTGTAGGCCATTAAATTGAATTTCTAATACATTTTTTGTTGATCATTACAGCCTAACTTAGAAGTTTGAACTAAAGATTTACGTTATAATAGAATTCTATGCTACGTCATTTTCGGTACACAACTACGCTAAAGGCTTTGTTAATGCAGTCAGCTGCATAAATACGTCTAGATTAATAAAAATTTAAAAATTGTATAGGCCTTCAGTTTCAAACATATGTATACACTTAATCCTCATCATGTATCCATCATACATGATACAGACAGACATGTTGTTGAAACAGAAAGCGTACAAAAGTTTCTGTAGCTTGGTAACTGTATACATATTTATGTACAGCAGACTGTACTTTCCCTTTACAGTTTCAAGAAAACGTGATTACTAGGCGGTGTAGACTATTTCTAAAATTTATCACTATCATTTACCACGGCAAAATATAGACAAGAAGTTAGTTGCGTGTATCTAATCTTTAGGGCGCCGCAAGCGCGAGTTAGCGGTTAACGATAAGACTATTGCAAAATTATGTTTACACACAGATAAATCATAAAGTTTGACGGTGTATCGTACGTGTACGTGACCTACATTTTGAAGACATCGTACAGAATATTGCATCCTTGGCGATGTTCTTTTTCATCTTTTTGAGCAGTAAAAAAGCAAATTTAAAGATTTTGTTAACAAAAAGGACCTAGTGTTTTTTTATTAGTGTATATCAGTCATTTTAAAGTTAAATTAAAATTAAGTAATTAAACGTAAATGTAACGAAACTGTAACTTATTTCATTGGCCTTTTATATAATTAAAGATATCGTGATAAAAACGTGAGGTTTTAAGGATATTTGCAGATCAAGGTTGGAGACATTAAGTCTTACTTTCCAGTCGTGTTTATAAGTAACGGTGGATATTAGCTTTAATCTTAGAGTAAATTAATATTAATATTAACTTACACTGTACTCACTATATTAGACATCATGAAAATGGCTTTGAAACACTATTATTCTTAGGGATGGTAAATGCAAGCATAACTAATAATTAAAAATTAATAAAGAACATATACCGAAAAGGGGGTGGTGATACATATTTATGCTAAAACATTCAGGCTCTCTCCCACCAAATTGTAAATTGTCTGATAGCAATCCAACGTGTAAAATATGTGATAGAAATATCGGATTTTGTTCCCTCTATCTTACAGTGACGTCATTTTTAACCTATCCAAGCCTCTATCAGCCAGTGGTGGGACAGGCCCTTAATCATATTGACGTTAATAATATCAATTAAAGGCTGCAATAGAATAAGCGGCGTTCTACTTTTAACTAAACATTGTTGACATTTTTTGGAATAAATAAACAGAATTAATCAGACTTGAGTGGGATAACTCTTTGGGTTTCGACTGTAAGGACAACTAGTTTGACACATATTGCTGCATCAGTTGTTTTAATGGGAATACAAGGAACGACAATATGTGTAATGCAAGTGGAAGAGGAAAACTCAGAGGAAGAAGGATGTTTAACTTTAGAAAAACTATTAGACTTAATTTTGCGTTCCTCTTTTTTGCTTTGTTAACGTGCATGAGTAATCACAAAAAATAATACAACGAATAAGGAGTACGGGTTTAAAGTATAGCGATACGTGCTGCCTAAACTGATGATTGGGTTTCCGGTTAATTAGGCGCCATTATATTATCGCGGCAAAAACATTTTACCGATAAGGAATGCAAAAACATATCCACAGTCACGCTTCGTACATTTAAAAGACCTTTATCAAATTCAACATAACATTTCTATCATTTGTTTGTTCAAAGATTGAGACTTATGTATAGCTACTTTAGTTAGGGCAAACAAAAGTCGAACAGTATAAAATCTTTTATGTAATAACCATTTTTATTGTATAATAATGTAGTCATCATAGTCATTAATTCGTGCTATGAGATAGCATACAATGGTTAAAACCCCAATTATGTTAAAATTAAGAAAAGAATAAATCCTTTTCTGAAACGCCTTTTAATCTGTGGTGCAATTATTAGCAAATACAGAGACATGAGTAAATCGGTCTTTCCTTAATGCAATCTGATACGTTTATGATAATACAAGTATTATCAGTGTTTTTTACACAACTTGACGTTATCTTTGCACGGACACTTAGAGGTTTCTTAAATCCTATTAAATCAATACATATAAGACAATAAATAAATAAATAAAAAGACGATTGAGTTGTCACTCAATCGTTCAATTTGTATGGTAGTTTTGATTGTGTGGTCGCAATGATATTTATCTTTACGGAATTTAAAAAAACAATTGCCAGTTATCGCTGTAATGTTTTTTTACCACATTTAAATATTACGCTTTTTAAAAGTTCACTAGTTTCACATACTTAACTTGCTTAGATAACTCATAGTTAATTTTTGATATGGTTAAGGTGCTTACATTACGGAATTACGGTGGATATCTTAAGCTCTGGTTATACCAGTCGAATTTTAGCTTCCGAATGCGTAAACTGTAAAATTGTTAACAGCGTTCATACGATCGTAACTGATATGATAACACCTATATTTGAACAAAGCCTTACATAACCATACTACCTACATATCTCATACATCTACAAGAATTGGATAAAACATGATTTTTTTTACTAAGTAGTATGGAACGCTGAATTAAAAACAAATTATCGTGCTCAAGTGAACTAGTTCGTACCACTAGTTCGCTTTTTAGTTGGGAAAATGATTCATTGGAGTGGGCAATTGTTTCAATCGTTACATTCGTGACTTTGCGCTCTGATACTTATCTCTGACACGTGGAAATTGTACGAACCCAATACATTTGCTTGTATCCTTTTCACTTTGCGTTAAAGAAACGTTAGAAAAATTATAGAGCAATCGCTTTCTAAGTAACACAATAACATTGTAATGGAACCAAGTATTCAGTTAAAATCGCTAAATTAATATACCTAAATGAAAATAAATGTACATAATATATCCAGGAAATATGCGTGGTAATGGTTTCTGCTACACAGTTTATTTTTTACATAATAACTCAACTAAATTAGTAACGAGAATTGTTTTTTTTACGAAATTGCGGGCATCAGCTAGTATGTATTTTTGATTTCCACTATTCTCTCATCCGTGCGGTTCAATAGTTTTTTCGAATTATTGTCCAGGAATACGTAATGTTAGTGAGGGATAAAGGGTACATATATGACAGGCAGTTTACAATTAAGTACATAAGGGGCACCTCGCGTGACGGTGCTTTGAACCGTGCAAACACTGCTGGGGAACTTTTCAATGCACGTTGAAGTCAATAAAAATGATCATACTTAAAACTAATATTATAAATGCGAAAATTTGGATGAATGTTTGTTGATGAGAGTTGATAGCCTAAACTACTGAACGGATCTCGATGAAATTTGGTATAAATGTAGAGGATAGTCTGGAAGAACACAAAGGTTACTCACTTTTGTTTTTTTTTCCAAGCGGACTGGGTCGCGGACTAGTAGCTTTGGTAGTTGAACATGAACAAAGAAATAAATGTGTAAACGTGTCTATTGGTTAAATCCTATTTTTATTTTCCAATTTACTTATAATTAGGAAAATGTAATCGCATTCCTTATATTTTTATTATCTTGGGAATCCAAGAAACTATTTTTGTTTTTTTTTTCTTTTAGATTTGTTTATCTGTAGAATTTGATAGGAAAATGTTGACATGTCTAGCCATTTGTCAATGTTAAATCAAGAACTCTGATTCTATAAAATCTATATAAATATTAAATAAGTGTGCTAAGAGTGGTTAAATCAATCAATGCAATGACCGAATTAACTGATGGCCGCGATGTATGTAAAAACATTATTAAAGTGACTCGTATGGTTAGGCTTCTGTTACAACAGCAGTTACTAAATTTTTAGAAAACACTAATAAATAGATATTGCTTCCTAATATCTAAAGTTATTGTGTAGATAATTTGATCTATTAACTGTACTATAGAATGTTATTTTTTATTGTTTCAGATCCCTGTCGATAGAAGTGTCAAATCAAGATCTTTAAACATTAACGGAGTATGCTTCAAAGATTACTCTCTGATTGGAAGCTTACGCTCTGGCGACATAAAACCTATAGATATTCCTAAAAGAATACAAACAGTTAATGCACCGAATAATGACATAACCGATAAAATATTCCAAACAACCTATCAAAGCTTCATACCTAAAATGAGTCTGAACCTGGAAAAGGTTGTAGAGAAAAATCCAAGAATTTTAGATTTACGAGAAAAGTTGAACGAGATTACAAAGAAACAAGATCTGAAAGATGCAAAGACAAAAAGTTATTTAAATGATATAACGCAGCAGTTCGCCGAAGATACTAATGAGTCAGGTCCATACAGTCTCTTATTTGACCTTCAAGCAGATCCTTCCACGTCTTGTGTAAATGTTAATGAAGGGGAATCGTGGAAAAGATCTCAAAATGATGTGTCAACAGATAATATCCCACAAATCATAAATAAAATTACAAATTCTGCTAATAAAAGTATTGAAAGGCTACCTAGTGTTCTCAACTTCGATGACAAACCCATGAAAGAGTTTGAATATTCATGTGAGAAAGAAATTCCTATTCCAATAAAAACAACATTTAATACTCATTCAAGATCCGATCTATGTTTACAACTTAAATCGCATGTTCATCCACGAACTTACGAAACGAACCTCAGTCCGAACGAAAACTCTATGAGCAGAAACAACGAAGAAAACTCTCTGGATGACAGCCTAGGCATTTTGACCCCTGATCAAATGGATGACATTTGTTATTTAGAGAATGCGTTTTCGCCTACGGTCGAGGGGCTACCAATATTTTGTGATAGCAGTGATTATAAAGCGTCGCCTGATAGTGGCGACACGCCTTCAACGGATAAGACTGAAAGCAATTCAGCTGCATCGACAATACAAAACGAAACTTTTGAAAACGTAAATGTTAAAAAAGGAAATACGTTTTCGCATTCCATGGCACCTATTATTTCACTTAACGCTTTAGAAACTCACGAACTAAATTATGACAGTAATTCAGTTCTTAATTTGTATGATAAAAGTTTTTGCAATCTATTAGATACCAAACAAGAAACTAAAAACAGTTCGGTGGCGGAGGATAATGTTGATTTATACAAATCTGAAGAATTCACTCCAAATTTAGTAGATGAGGAATTTATGCCATCGATCCATGGTAGTATTTTAGAACCTGCAAGTTCCATTGCAGATACAACTATTAATTTGGAAATACCTTTAGATTGCAAAGCAGAAAATCGTACAGCTTCTAATCGTATAGAACAAACCCCATCCCCGGAAGATTTACCACTTGATAGTTCTGAAATAAATGGCGAGATCAGCACGTATTCTCAATTTTCAGCGTCTACGTTACATGATTCACAAACTTTTTCAGACAGCAAAAATGATTATACAAAATCAATGGAAACTTCAAAAGTGTCAAATAGTTTTATAACAAGTATCACTAGCATAACTAGCTTAGACGGGTATCAAGGGGACGGGGAAATGTCAAGACCAGTGAGTCGAAGTGCAGATCACCCAATGGAACCTCGGGAAGATGTCATTGATATGGATTGGCAAAATGTGCCCGTGACAAGAAGGGTAGATCCTATGACTGACTCCGATTTCTTTACTGAAAGCGATGCCGATGGATTAGACGAACACATGCAAAAAGGTGATCGACGAGCTCAAGTTATAGATGGAGCTCTATATGGTGGCAAAAATGGTAACGCAAATGCTCCTTTAATCGTCACGAGAAGTGAAGATTCATGCATGGAGTCAAGTGGAGTATATACTGATTTTGAAAACCATCGTGCATCTCCTGTATTTCTACACGTAATAAAAGATATGTCCCCTGATTCAACACCGTCAACTCGATCAGAGTGTAGTCAGAAGGATTCAAGTTCTAATAAATTAAACGCGTATTTTACACCATTAGAAGATACTTTGGAAGAGCAAAATTCAGATATATCTCACGTGATGGATGATGACATTACCCCCAAGAATACTAGCAAAAGAAACTCAATAAACAGTGAAAAAGATGTAAGAACAATCGATAAAAATAAAGAAGAAAAACGTAGCTTTACATTAAAGAAGTACAAAATGCCCAAACGTGATGTCCCAAGTAAATTAAAAACTATGTTGGCAAGCAGAAAGACTGATGCAGACACGAGTGTACAAAACAGTCCAAAAGCGGCTAAAAAGTGTGAGAGACGAGAAAGTTTTTTAAAAAAGTCTTCAATGGAAACGAAGAACGACTACAAAATGAAATCTTTCAAGGATATTAAATCGAAAGTTGATTGCACGTTTTCGTTACAACGGTCGCAGACTGCGTGCAGTGTTACTAGAATGTTAAGCGCTAAATCTACTAATATGAACACGAAACCAAAAAGGTAACCAGCGTCTACATTTATTTATGTTGGTTTGAATGTTTGCTATATTTTGAACTCTATCTTATTAATAACAAGATTTCGCTCGCGACTCCGTCGGCGTGGAGTTAAAAAAAAGAAAGTTAATTATCTTATGTGATCTTCCAGACTATGTTCTATAACTATGCCAATTACATCGAGATCCGTTTAGCCGTTTAGGCTACAAACTCTAACGAACATCAATCCTTCCAATCTTTCGCATTTATGATATTAGTTAGATTAAAGCTACATGTGTAACAGTATGGATAATGGATTCTAATAAAATCTTTGCAAAATCCATTTTTTCTGTTTCAGCCGTCACTTGCGCATGCGAATGGAACTTGGCTCGGCCAACGGCAGTGGCAAGAGCAGCCTGCACAGCTCGCAGAGCGACATTAGCGCCACCAGCACGCCTCTCGGCAAGCACGCCACTAGCCGCTTCCCGTTGCTGAGTGAGTACCTCCACATCTTAATACTTGAAATGTCACGTCCTATAATTAGAATTAATTTTAGACTGTTTTATTAAATAATTTTAGCTGTCCGAAAACATAGTTATACTAAATTTAATATATTTCGATAGACGTTTATTTCATCATTTAACATAGAAGTATTTTTAGATAGGCGACTCTGTGTCCAAGGGTCTCTGTAAACTTAAAGGAAATTTATGAACTTAAGAATCGCCACAACATCAGTAACCACCAAATTCTTACTACGGGCTTTCTACATTTAAGTAATAGCTAGTGAAGATGACCCCAATATCAGTTTCCAACAAGTCATGATAAAAGCTTTACGATATCGTTAAGTCTATGCAACATTTATTACGTTAATATCTAGTAATGTAATTACGGACAAAATTATGGGGAAGAAAACTTATAGCAAATAGAGAGTTTTGATATATCGGATCGTAATATAAAATGTAAATTTTTGCACAAATAATTGCACAGGAAACGTAGTATAAAATGTAAATTTCTTGCGCCTGGTAAATTTTTACGAGCAAAATAAAACCACGACTAAAATGCGTCGCATATATTGAAAGTGACAACCTTAACTCTCAACATTTACATGAGTTTAACAATGTACTTCATATATACAGACAATTCATTATTATATATTGACACGTGTATTTCAAATTGTTAGTTTGAATAAAATAATTTCTCTTTTCCCGGTTTACTTTTTACTTTTCTCACTAAGTTTAACTTAAGCTTGCATTAACTGTGCACAACAATTTTATGTGTCTAAAGTCCTTGTCATTAATCCACGTCAAAATCTGAAAATTTTGGTGATTCTTTTTCTAAACATATAGAACAAACAAGGAAGAAACATAGGCACCTTAACATTAGATAAACTTAGTAATCCCTAATCGTTTTCTGTCGATTAGTCGTATAACCTGCGCTAATATCACTGCACATTTACAAAGGATTTTTTTTAAAACTGCTGCTACACACAACAGTCGGAACATTATGATTTATTTCTACATCGCTTCTCCCGAAGTCGCCCTTATGACTTTAATATCTGCATTTATTCCTTCTGCATCGATTAGACATAACAATTTTTTTTTCAGCAATAACTCGCGACAGCCAGATACAGCTGGTTGTATCATTCAAATAAGAAAAGAGAAAGAAACATAACCATGAGTATATTAAATCTAGACATGACGTTAAAGGGCTTCATCTAATTATCGATCTTTCGCATTATTACGGAGATTGTCATTGTCATTCTATTTATGCGCTTAGAAATATGACCTTTATGTGATCGATAAATATTTTAGTCTGACCTTTGTTTTTACACTTGTTTATGTCTTGTTGTTGCGTTGAAAATCAGCTGTGTGTCGTTGACAAAGCCAGTCAGAAGGTCGACTTTACAGCTAGCTTAGGGAGGACCGCATGGTAACTGGTATTTCCTCCCGAGCGCGACTAGTCAGCGGCATTCGGTTCTCCGATCCGTTCGCCAGTCGCCGGTGAGACGCGGGCCGGCGCGCGCCGACTGCGCCACACTGTCGCGTCCGTGACGTCAACTTGCAACGCGAAAAATCAATGGATACAGATACAACCCCTCACCCTTAAGGTTACCTAGCATACCGCATTTTTTTTAAACGTAGAAAATGTGAAATATGCGAGTGATACAGTGAACTATACGATGCGAACGCAGAGGACAACGTGAAATGCCGATCGCCGTGTGAATGGTTTACAATCGCTGAATTTTTGTGTGGTGTCATAATTCGAATTCTATAGGACTTTTTACAACTTCAGTTATTGGTTGTGAGAAAACTTTCACTGGTAGACTATTTTTTCCTGTTTGAATCCAGTCGTGTAAGAATGGAAAACGTTTTAACATTGGTCTTACTGTCAGATTTTACGCACTTTTGCAAAAAAAAGTAATATTAAGTAATGCGATATAACTACATAAGAATTTAATTAATGAATTAAAGAATATAATAAATAATATTTCTTATTGATAAGCGATACTAAACGATGATAAAATAGATATACCTAGTAATTCTACTTTCATATTCCAATTAGATACGATATTTTGTTTTAACAGTGATTCATCACAATAGAATCGAATTTAATCAGTTCCCTTTGCAGTGACGTTATCATCTCATTAGTTAAATACGTATTTGGTATAAATATAAGCTATTAGTTGGTCTGCTTTGAGAATGACTGTATTATAAAGTTGTGCAGGAAGTCAGAAATTATTCGTCTCGAAATTTTAACGAGCAAAAACTGCTTGAACTAACTATGGGCAATTATACAGTTTTTCTAAACTGCCTTTTTATTTTATTCGAAGAATCTGATTTGAAGAGGCTTTACAATTTATCTTTGGTAGCTGGATGATGAGATAAATAAAAAATTGATTCACTGAGGATAATGTCCGAAGCTGTTGACAGATTTTACAATAATAGCGGTTTGGAAAAAGTGTCATGTTAGATTTATAAATTAACAAAGTTTTGTAGGTTTTCTTTATTTATTTCAATAGTTTAACTCAGTCGTTCATAAAGTATCTTTTTTGCCTTTCTTACTTTTATTACATGTTAATCGGAGAGAATAATTTGCTGCTCAGCTTTTAAACGTTTGTAACATAGGTGGTTTTTTAATGATCTTATTAAATTTATCGGTGATTCTCGCATTTGTTTCAACATTGTTGTCGCTTGACGAGTCAATTATTTGAACGATATTGTTAAAAGTGGTTCTTTGATAAACGTAATTAACTCAAAAGGTTGGAAACTAATTATTTTTCTTTCATATACCCCTGGTAGGTTCTTAATAGTATCTTAATTACAAACAACTGTAAATGTAGCCTTAAATACTAATAAAGCATTAATTTTGTGAGAAAATACAACTTGTAAACAGAAAACGTGGTAACGCATCGTTTATATACAACCTGTCTTCATCCATAGTAATTAACTATTTAATAGAATTGACTTTCTACAAACAATTTCTCAGTAAGTAACGTCCAAATCGCTTTTAAAATACGATTACAGGAAAACTGACTATTAGAAATCATCTAGTTCAGTACAGTTGCGTCTGAGACGAATTAAAAAACTGCGAAGTTATCATGTGTTTCTTACCTTTCACTTGTCTATAATGTAATGTTATAGGTGTCGTGTACAACCACACGCAAGAAGTAATTGTATAATACATTTATTTGTCAGATCGTACGCATGTTTTGTTCAAAGTAAAATATTGAAGGTCTGCTTGACTAGTTTGATTGCATATGTATTTATCGCCGAAAAGGTCATTGACAATTCAGTAACATGCTAAGGCCGGTTTGATAATGTTTTAAATAAACATTTGGAAAGAAAAAAGGTAAAAGGTATTGCTAGTAATAATTTTTAAATCAAATATTTACTGTCTAAGAACTGAACATTGTAAAAACAATAGCTGTGCAACAGCGAAATAAACAACAATATCTACACTATCCGAAGATCGATCAATGTTAGATAAAACGGTCAAAGATGACAAGCTAATCCGTTATAACTCGTTTTCTTTACATCGAACAACGGTTGTATCTCTATTGATAAAAACATTTTTCGATTCTTTTTTTTTATTAATAGACAAAAGCTATCGAATTGATACAGCCAATGACAATCTTAATCAATTAAAAATCAACTTTTTAATTTCATGCTTTTTGGCAAATTATCAAAGTGCTTCAAGGTTCACCGATAATTGTGTGTAATTTTGAAATATCTTTAACTAAATGAATTGAATGGCGTCGAGACGTGATTGACCATTAAAGTGGTGAGGTATAATATGGTCTAGTAGGCAATGCGCGAGTGAAATCCGCTGGAAGCCGATGCAGTGTAACGGGTTATTCTCGTCGATGGATTTGTTGACGAGCCGAGATACGTTGACCCCGTCGCCGGTGAAGGCGAAACTGACTGCAATGCAAACTGTTTAACTTCTAAGTTGGGCAGATACGATAATGATCTAAACGATGGACATCATGTTAAAACTGTAACGCAATGCTTGTCAAACGATCGGTAAACACGAATGTAGTGAATAAGGAAAAAGACCCATTTCTTTTTCGTTTTGCACCCATGTGCAAAGGCATAAATGAAATTAAAATCTATATTACTAATATTATAAATGCGAAAGTTGAGATGAATGGATATTTGTTAGAGTCTGTAGCCTAAGCGGCTAAACGGTATTCGATGAAATATGGCAAAGATGTAGAGGACAGTCTGGAAGAACAATAATTCAACGCAAACGGAGTAGCGGGCGAAAGCTAGTGATCCTATAATGTCGACCAAATGACTATAATAATAGCAGATTTAATTATTTAGCTATATCAAATTTTAAAATTATAAAATCATTCTTCTGTAAACATCAGAATCTATTAGATTACCTGGATTGTTTAAACATCCTTAATATATTACATACTAGTTTTCGCTCGCGACTCCGTCCGCGTGAGATTAAAAAAAACTGAGTAGCCTATGTGTTCTTCCAGACTACCCTCTACATTTACACCAAATTTAATTGAAATCCGTTCAGTCGTTTAGGCAACATACTCTAACCAACATCCATCTAAACTTTCGCATTTTTTTAAATATTAGTATGGTATGATTTTAAATGTTGTTCTTTAATAACGTTAATGGGCTCCTTTTTAGGTAATAACCGTTGCATGATATATGTAATATGTTTCCAAACATAAACAGATTATAAGCGATTAACACCCTGACCCATATTGGAGCTATTATGTTCGATGGCCTAAAAGCTTTGAAAGCACGGAATATCGCTTTATCAATGGAATAATGGAGACAGGCGTTATGTCGTTCAGTGATGAATAGTTTAGGAACATGTTACTAAATTGTATTACATTATTAAGGTCAAACATTAATTGAATTCATTATGAATATTTATCATTTTAAGCTAGTTTTATTGTTTTTTTACTCACATTATCAGCTGAAATGCGTATTTCTGTCAAGTATCTATGATTCTTAGTTCAAAACATT